TCTCTATTTCCTCCTCTATGAAAGAAAAGTGATTGGTCAGTGGCTCCCGCATTCCTTCCACCAATGATTCTGTGATACACCTGGGCTTTTCTACGTAGGTATCCATATCTGAATGGATGAGATAATCCAGTTTTCTCCCACTGGACTGATTTGCAGCCCATTTCAGGAAGGTAGAAGCCTTGGAGAAATGCCATCTTGAGAAAGCAAATACATTATTCATCTTGTCAAATTTTTATAAAATGAATAATTGTTGGCAGAAAGTATTTAAAAATGCCTTTTCTTCTTCCCCATTAAATAAAAGGATAATTACTAAATGTGAAATGGGATCTCCAGATTTATGGTGAGGGAATTGGCTTCTTATCCGACTTCCACTGCTAGTATTAAACTAGGATGATGATAGATCAAGCAGATTAAAAAATTGCAGGTGATTTTCAAAATTCATGGATCTCACAGATATTCATTTTCTTAGGCTGTGAAACTTGCTTTGGCCCAGAATGCAATTGCTGATTGGTGGTGTTTCTACCATTTCTTTTTATCATTATTACTTCTATTAGTAGGTTAAGATAAACTTGTATCGACATAAAAAAAATCTAGTAAAGTCTCATTTCTGTGAACAGTAAGAAAAGAGAATCAGTCTTTGAAAGATAATATAGTAAAATGTGTTTAAATATACGAGCTGCTTGATTTAGTTTAGATTTTGGGAGTAATGGGAAATCATTTGTAGTGGTACAGTGCTGCCTGATGCTCGGGACCTGTGGGCAGTGAGAGCGATGTTACTTGAAAGGCAGCATCAAGTTCCCATTTCCTCCCGATTTTTTATGGAACTCTGCAAAAACTTAGTGACATTCACAATGTGCCGGATCCTGGGAAGCTCCCAGGAAAAGACTGGCACCGTCCCTGTCCTGCGGATTTTCAAAGGCCCAGAGGGAAACAGGCCATGGAAAGATAGTAAAACAAGAACTGAGAGTGTACAGAGCAGAAGGGGGTCCTTTTTAAGAGAAGTTCAGGGAAAGGCTTTATAGAATTGGTGATTCATGAGCAGAAATTTTAAGGAAATTTCATGAGGTGAATATTAAGAGGCTGAAGGAAAAGAAGAGAGAAAGGTGTGGAATCCCAGAAGTGGAACTGCTTGAGTGTGAGCGCTCGGTATCCCCACAAGGCAGAGTCTGGGCAAGTGAGGAAAGAGAAATCACAGGGGAGAAGGAGAAGCAAGGCCATCGCGAAGAGGAAGGAAGGGCCAGAGAAGCCAGGTCTTAACAACCGTGTGTAGCGGCTTTGGGCTGTACCCACAGGTGATGGAGACCTTGAAGGTTTTTGAGCATGTCACCTCATGGTCAGATTTGCATTTTGGAAATTTCTTGTGGCTGGATTATGGCGAATGGTATGATGGGAACCAGATCGTGTGGCAGCATGGGGACCTAGTGAAAAGGGTAATGCAGTGGTCCAAATGAGTGATGAGATGGTTTTCTGGTGTAAAATTTTCTATTGATTCATAAATATACTGCTACATTTTAAAATGTCAGCAAATTGAAGATACTTTTAGCATTCAGTAGAACTGATTCATTGCTACTTTTATAGTTTGAAATTATTCATGAAATTAATAGCAATGAAAAATTGAAAGAGGATATTTTATTTGTCAGTGAAATTAAACTAGTAAACTTCTCACAAAAAATTTCATAGTTATAATTTTGCTGTATAATGTGGAATATAGCTTCACAAAAATGTAAGGCAATGAATTTGTAGTGTATACACATCTATTTACTTGGGAAAATTAGGCATATTTAATAACAAGTGAATGATGTCATAGTGTCAGTGCCTCTGAGTATTTGTTCAATTTGCATTTGATACAGTTATAACCAAGACTTTATATTAATTTAAGTCATGGAATAAGTGACTGATAGTTCTAAACAGAAAGTTAAGTCCAAAGTTGAGAAAGAATGAAATATTTGTTAGGGAAAATTAAATAGCAATGTATACATATAAGATTATGATTTTTTCAAGAGCTTGTATAAAAGGTCATAGGAAATCATATAATTGGAAAAGCACAATTGAAAATTACTTTAAACTGTGTCACAAACAGGATGGCATATAAGTCTTGTTACCAAATCTTGGTTTGGGTGCACAAATCCTTAGTTCTTCATTACCGCAACAGGAAACTAAAGTCAGAGCTGAAGAAATGAGAACACCCATAGCACTGTGAGGGCAATAAAATATTACAGAGCTACATCTCGTTCAGTATGAACCCAAGATTTTTATTTTTAGTGTTGCTATTTAATTACACACAGTAGTACATAAGTTATCATAAATGTTAGGCTGTATGTCCACAGTCAGATAATGTAGGAATGATCAGTTTTGCATTATGCATTATCTTTAATTCACACTAATGCTCAGGAATCTGATTCATTCCTTACTGTTCGCCAAACTTTCTTTAATTATGTAGAATATTGTCGGTGCCTGTAGTTTTAGGATTGGAAGGTTTGTACAGTGCATTTGATACCACATTGTATTTTAGTACTCAGAGATTACATTGAAGCTTTAGGGGTTAGGATGAATTTTCTACGCCTCTTTTTATAAAAAGTTTTTTAAAAAATAACTTTTTGGTAGGATCTGCTTATCTCTATGTCTCCCACCCTCTGACCCCCATATGATACTTGATTATAATGTGATACTTTGAGGACACTTTATTTTATCTTTTAGTAAAAATATATTTTTACTATATATTCACTCTTATTAGGTTCTGTTAGGGGAATTGATGGGCACATGTTTCAAAGCTGAAATCTTTTTATGCTTATTTTTTACTATTTAATGAGATTTCAGGTATATTTTAACAACCGGGGTTTCCCTGATGAATCATTAAAATAAGTGAGTGGGTTGGAAGGTAATACTAACTTTTCTCAGTACTGCCCTGTTTTACCCTGCTGGGTTATTGGTTGCTTTTAAAATAGAACCTGGTGTGTTGGAGTTGGTGGGTGGAGGTGCAGAAGAGAAGGGGTCAGTAAGAAAATACCAGGTAAACCTCTGATGACCTATTGGGAAGTCCTACTCAAATTTTATTTTCCCCAACTTAGAGCATTTAGTGTCTAAAAGTTCATTGTGTTTTGCTCTGCCAAGCTTAACTTTTTAAATATTGTGTATAGGCAAATAGAAAATATATTTTCAGCTATTGATTGAAGTATAAGGTATCAAGCCATGTGTGGATTAGCCTGTGGAATCAATTTCTCATGTGTGTGGGATTAAAACCGTTAAAACCATCATCACTGAAACCATACCTTCCTACAGCTAATAGCAGTAAGGTGTCTGTGGAATATATTAACACAACAATTCCTCTGATTTAAAATTATTACTTGGTATTTGGTTGGAAAATTATTTTAATATTATAAGTAACTGAATTGACATCATATATGAGGGCTAATTACACATTTCTAATGTGACTTCGGTTTAGTTTAAAAAAAATCCACATGATGTATTTATACTTAGCATATTTTTTCCAATAAATCAATGGCATATTGCAAAATTCATTCTCTATACTTTCAAAAACAAAACAAAACAAAAACAAAAAAACCCCACAAACCTACAACAGCAGTTCTCTTAGAGGAGGTACAGCAAAATGTAGTTCACTTTGAAAATGGCTCAGGGAATAAAGAAATTGGGTCAAGCTTAAAATAAATTCAGGTACAGTGACAAAAAGTTTTAATAAAAATTAAAAATATTCACAGCCTTGGTTTCAGGCTATTTTGTTCTTAGTGATCTTATCAATGCATTATTAGTTTTTAATTGAGATGACGCTAATGGCACTTTCTCATTTTGGTCAAAATGTTTATGGGAAACATCATTGAGATTTTTCACTTTGTATCCTGTTTTAATTGGTAAATATAAAGTTTTGGAAAGGCAGACAATTCTTAGATCATTTGACCTCTGGGGATCTTAAGTAGAATTTGAACTGGTTTAAAATTCCTATGTCATAGCTATCACTTTGACTTATTTATATTGCCAATTTAATGTTTAGCGTTTAACCATGTATCGTTAAATCATAGTATTGATAATGAATTAAACTTTCATAAAACTTTAATAGTATAGTAGATTCTCATTCATCTGGTGTCACTGGGGAATAAAATACGCTGAAGAAATGAGTTTTTTTTTTTTTTTTTTTTTTTTTTTAACCGAAGCTTACTGGGTTAAGCAGAAAAACTTAAAAGTTGATAAAAATTTATCTGACACACTTTGTATGCTCTTTTTGGAAGGAAGAATGGATTGGCCATTAACTTTTTTTTTTTTTTAACTTTTTCCTAACGTCATGAAATATTAACATTCTAGTGTTAAGTAGAAAGGACATGGGCTTTTTGATTAGTATTTGTTCCCTCACATAAAAAAGGTTTTTTGTTGTTTTTTTCTTTTGAAATAAATGTGACACCCCTAATTGATATACTTTCTCAGTTTTTGCGGGGGGTGCATGTGCTAATGCTTTAACAGATTGATTAACTCAGGCACCTATGTAAGACCTTTGGCTGTGTATAGGATCACCTATCCTCGGTTGGCAAACACCTGGCCACAGCCTTGGGCTGTAAAGGACACCCTCTCCTTGCTGAGGAGTAAGCATTTTCAGTGTTCAGGACTGCTGCTCCCAAGCATTCACTCCCTGGTAGCCATTGGTAGTGGTCCATGATGTCTCCATTCACCCGTGCTTGTGAGCATCTGTGGTGTCTGGGTGACCACCTGCAGTTTTTTGGGATTATTGCTAAAATGAGCAAATAGTGCATTCCCTTTAAGTTTTAACAAATTCCAGCATAACAGCAAAAATTCTCTTTAATAAAATGTTGTTTTTTTTTTTTAACCTTATGCTTGTTTGTTTCAAGCGGTGTTTTCTAAAACAAAACTCAAGCACAGTAAGAGTATTGGCACTCTTCTTTAATGTGCTATAATGGCATTTGGTTTGAATCTTATATTTAAAAATCAGCTTCCTCTCTTTTGCTTGCACCTAATTGGAATGGTCTTTCTTCCAGGTTGTGCTTTTAAGAAGACTATAGGGAAGAACGATTTTCTTCTTGCCACAAAAGTTGCAATAGAAGTAAGTAGGGGAACTGCCAGGATATGTCTGTCTCCACAAAACAAGCAGAACAAATTTCCATGAATCAAAGCCACTAAGTATAGTTTTCAGAGATGGTAAGACATAGTTACTCTCCCTAGAAAAATACCCCAAATGCAGGCACACCCATTGGCCACTAGAAAAATGCTCGAGTAAACGCTACTTCAAACCTGTACATTTCACTCTTCTTACTGAGCTATTAAAGGGGTGGAAATCTACTATAGCTATAATCTTTTTTTCCCCTTTTCTATTTTTCGACCTCCCACATGCTTGGTGTTCAGTTCTGCTTACTGAATGTCTTGAATCGACAATAGCACCTACACCTACTGCCTCCACATTGGCTTATGGTTTACAGATAACTAATGATTCAGACCCATAAGAAGAAACATCTGTAAATATATGACATTATAGGTGTTCTAGATGAATCATGAAAAAGGGCAAAGGGATGAGGAATCAGGAAATTTTTTTCCCCGTCTAATATTGATGTTGCCTTCTTTGAGGTTATATGAATGAAATATTCTTTAGAGTGGTTTAGATCACATTCTCAGGTCCTTTTTACAACAACCTTTTAAGGATATATAGGGCATATATACCCTATCATGATTAGATCAGAGGAAATAAACCAAAATAGAGATAAAAGAGATAACTGTGATGTGATCTTGTAAGCAAACTAATGTCAACTGCTTTTAGTCTGTCTCAAAACCTTTGATATAATTTTTAAAATTGCCTTATATTAGTCTCTCAGTTGACTTTCTAGAAGTTTCCATTATATGAGGGATTAAGGGCTAATTTTTTTTTTGTTGTTGTTGTTAAATTTGTCTTACTGAACAGCATTTATTAGAGGTGGTCTCCAATTGCCCTGAGAAAAGCCAAGACTGCATAGTCAGTCCCTGAGCTTACTTCTTCTCAGATACTTGGGGGGTTCTCAAATTCTTATTTGGGATACAAGCTGCTGATGAGGAATGAGTGGTACCCACTGCACTTCAAATGCGTGTGTGTATCCACTTTTACCACCTATCCTTGGTTGAGAGGGGGCCATGATTGAAAATTACTGATTTTAAAATGAAGGAAGATTTGAAGATATTCTTTCCCCTTAAGTAAAGTGATTTATACTAAAAATGGGAGGGACAAATATCTTCTTACTGTTTATAAGTCATTATCTGCAATCTTATCTTCACAATATACCTCTGACATTAGTATTGTTATCCCCATTTTAGAGAAGACGAAACTGCGTCCTACAAAGTTAGGTGACTTGGTCAAGGTCACACAGCTAGGAAATGACATTGCTGAGCTTCAGACTTGTATTTCCCTGATCCCAGAGTTCATGTTTTTTCCACCTAAGGAACACTGCTTCTTATTTTACAGATAAGTGAAATGTGTACTTGTATATTTTTCTTCAAAAATACTCATCATAAGATTCAGACATCAAGAACTAAACTTTTTTCATTCCAGTTGTATCTTTGAGAACCGTTTGACACTTTCTCCTCTGAAATGAGATTTAAGTAGGCATTGCTTTGAACCGATGAAGTACAGTTTTATTGGTGAAAAACATCATTGAGCGGCACCTGGGTGGCTCAGTTGTTTAACTGTCCAACTCTTGGTTTCAGCTCAGGTCATGATCTCAGGGTCATGAGATCGAGCTTGGCCTCAGGCTCTGCGCTCAGTGTGAGTCCACTTGAGATTCTTTGCCTCTCCCTCTCCACCTGCCCCTCCCCTTGCTCCAGCACTCTCATTCTCTCAAATAAATAAATATATATTTTTAAAAAGCATCATGGAGTTGTCGAGACTAATAATTTTATGGAACAACATTATTAAGAAAAGCGGTATGCTGTGTAATGAGTGGTGTTTACTTAAGTCATAAAGGAAAATTCAAACATCTGGAGTATTTTTTAAACAATGTAGTATTTATGTACGGAGTGATGTTTCTTCCTTACTTCTTCCAGGAAATAGCTTATAATTTTAAATGTATATGGATTTTTTTTTTTACATTCTCACATATATTTTTATTTTACTGGGCACTTTAACAAAAGCCATATTATTAAACCAAAAAGTTGCTTGATAGCTGACTCACTGGGATGAAAATTTTACCATGTCTTTAATAACAACATTACTTTATCTCTCTTTTTTATTTTTAAAAATATTTTATTTATTCATGAGAGAGACAGAGAGGCAGAGACATAGGCAGAGGGAGAAGCAGGCTCCATTCAGGGAGCCTGACGTGGGACTCGATCCTGGGTCTCCAGGATCAGGCCCTGGGCTGAAGGTGGCATTAAACTGCTGAGCCACCTGGCTGCCCTGCTTTATCTCTCTTAATGGGATTGTTGTTTAAAGAAAGGTTGTAGAAACCTTGCTGATTCATAGGCATATGGCTTTACCCCGTTTTTTTTTTTTTTTTTTTTTTTTGGGTTTTCCTTTGCAGATGGGAAATCGGCGATAGTGGGGAAGTGGTCAAGGTGTGTGCAGTGTCTCAAGAAATTGTATCGTAAGATTTTTAACATTAGACAATTGAGATTTGACTCTGAAAGTGCTTTTTTTCTAAATATGGATTCACTGGGGGCAGTGATAGCTGGTGAATTTAAAGGTGAATTAATATGAGAGTTTCAGAATCAGAGGATTTCTGAACTGTAAAGGGCCTTACAAACAAAGGGCTCTTGGAGTGGAAGTCTTAGGAGATGAGTGTAGTGACTGTCTGAGAGTAGTAGAGCTGTGGGCCAAGCCGCTTCTGTGGTTACTGAGTCAGGGTCACAGCCATTCCAACCAGGAAGTGAGTGATCACAGCAGGAGAGTGCTCTGAACTTCCTGGGGCTGGAGGAAAAAAAAAATAAAAAAAAAACCCTGAGTCATTGTGCAAGTAATCTTGGAGCAAGAAGAAAACAGAAATCAGAAAAATAAGCATCCTTTATTTCCTCTTGTTAACACAAATGTAAAAACACTGATTACAAAAGTATAAACCTTAAGTGTCATGTACTTTTTTTTTTTAAAGTGGGATGTAGCAAATTAAAAAAAATTAAGCTTCTGTAAATTATTTGCTTTCTGAGTGTCATATTTTAACTTAGTTTTTAAAAAAGCCTTATGCACACACATATACATGTGTTGGAAAAAATATTGTTTTGCTTATTTAGGATCTGTGAAGGCTTGAAAAGGCCCATGAGTCTTCTCATCATTGAGGCGTTCTATGGAGGGTCCCATAAACAGCTGGTGGATCTGCTCAAAGAAGAGTTAGAAGACTGCGTCCTTTATACCCTTCCTGCAAAGAAATGGCATTGGAGAGCGCGGACATCAGCTTTATACTTCTCCCAGAATATCCCCAGCAGCGAACGGTACAGGTAATTGGAGCCCACGTGGCATCGTCAGCCTCTTTTTACTGTACGTGTTGCAGGGACGCTGCTGGTCCCTGGCATCCGTGAGGTTTCCTGCCGCCGTGGCATGGGCCCTAAGACAACAGCAGATACTCCTGTAGACACAGCGGAGCACATTCACACTCCCAGGGCATCCGGCTGGTAGAAAAGTGGCCTCCCTTAGAACCCCTAAGCCTTTGCTCATTTGTCTTGTGATTTTATCACATGCACCTGCGTGGGCGTGGATGACAGTGATCGGCCCGCGGGGAGACTTGATCTTGGGCACGTTTTTGTTCCTGTTCCATAACCTCCGGTGTCTCTTTTAGTGACTGTGCTGTTTTAGGTTCCTTTACTGTGTCTGCTCTGTACTAGGAGCTGAGGTTGACAAGACAGATGTAGCCAAGCTCTGTGCCCTTAAAGCTTTAAAGACTCTTGAGGTAGACATGGACTTGGAAGTGCAGCGTGAGCATGAAAAGTGGGGGAGTTGATTTTGACTGTGACAAAGCGGAGGTGGCTTTAAAGCGTTGGCAACATTTGCTTAGTCTTAAAGGACGGATAGATTTGGGGGAATGCCACTCAGTTCTGAATTCTGATTATTTAGGAAGTGGGGACTAGGGGTACCTATGAGAGATTTGTCTGGGAGCCCCTAGAAAGCTGAGTGAGAAATACAGATTACATCTGATGGGAAACAAGTGGAATACTGAACACCCCTGCCTCCTTACTCTCTGTTGGCATATACTGCCTTGCACCTCCTGCTTGTTAAATAGTGGGGGATTGTTCTACTGTGTGTGTGGTGTTTTCTTTTCTTTCTTTTTTTTTAAAGATTTTATTAATTTATTTGAGAGAGAGAAAGAGAGAGTACAAGCAGAGGGGAGAGGGAGAGGCAGGTTCCCTGCTGAGCAGAGAACTGATGCAGGACTCGATCCCAGGATCCTGAGATCATGACTTGAGCTGAAGGGAGACACCCGACTGAGCAACACAGGCGCCCCTGTGTTTCATATATCTGTTCTTCTTACCATTCTGGGCCCTTCTGTGTAGGACTGCTCTGGTTTAAGCAGCACTGGGGAGTGCAGGCTGATAATTAATGGAGTTAGGGAGACAGATTGTTAGAGAAAGGGCACATCACAAGCTGCGGTGCTCACCTTGCCTTCAGCAGCCCCATCTATCTGTTGCTGTTTGTAAGGTGCAGTCACGAGGGAGACAGCTTGGGATTTAAATGTAGGTTGCTGTTTTTAGTAGTAATTTGAGGGATTCAGAGAATAACCCATTTGGTGTATGAAAACCATGGATCTTATCTGAGAATTCAGATTGTCAGGTGGAATGAATAGCCGTGCGTGTTTGAGTCACTCTGCTTGGGATTATAAAGGTAAAATGCTGTTTGGGGACATACTAAGAATTTATTTTTCCTTACATAATTTAATGTTTTGTATTCTGATATCACTAAGTGAATATTGTTGCTTATAGTACTAGAAATTTCAATGAGTGTATCAATATAAAAGTTTTAAAGGCGATGATGAGACTGTTGCTGTGTTAAAATCTGTTTATAGTTGCTTTCACGATCTCCTTTAATTGTTTTCATAGCACCAATTGCATTGTATTACTTAAGGTCAAATAATCCTGTTGACTTTATGCACATTTTCATTTAAGATTACTGTTTGAGAGAACACATTTCTACAATGACTAGGACATTGAAACGAACCATTTCCTTATCTGCTGTTAGATTTCATTTTGATTATGCAGTTTTTCAGAATGAAATCATTGTATCGCAAATATATGTGTGTTGCTAGCGTGCCTACAAACACTCCCGTGTCCAGGGCTTCTCCACTCCCTTTGAGGCCTGAAGCATTTGAGGATAAAGATCACATTGCTCTTTGAAGCAGTCTTGTTTGGGAGGTCAGTTTCTGCAAGATTGTGATGTAAAGTTTTACTCCCTGATGCCCATAACCTACAGGTCCTATCTGTGGGATCTGAGATCTTTCAAGGTCACTCATCTAAGCTGTGCAGTTAACTGCATGAATCTAATCAGACTTCACTAAGAGATATACCTCGCCATTTGAACCTACAGTTACATTTGACCAATGATAACTTATCTACTCTTTTTGAATACTTTTGGAAAAATAGCAACAGCTTGGATTCTTACACGAAGTTAAGAAATATGCTCACTCAACCCTACTTTGAAGTGCAAGAGCAATCTTTTGTTACACCAGAGAAATCTGATCTCTGAGGAGACTTTTAAAGATAGGAAGTTTTCGCTTTTCCGTTCTTGGTACACTTGGCAAATGAAATCATCACAATCCATAAAGCCACCGGTCTTACGTACTATGCAAAATTACTCTGAACAGGTAAGGACCGTGTCTGATGAGAGAGACCCTGAATGTAGGTACACACGTTACTTTTCTCAGTTTCCATACGTACAGTCATTATTGTTATAAGCTTGTTATCCAGAAAATATTTTATTACTAACAAAATAAAGGCTTTAGCCCAATTACTCAGTTTGATTCCTCTTTATCTTGACAGCTAGAAGAATGCATCACGGTTTATGTTTGGAGCCATGTAGTTTTATCATAGATTACAAAAGCTCCACAAGTTATTTTTCCCAAAAGTAGTTGGCAATGATTGGTCCATAGGTTATATTAAAATTTTGCCTTCTGAAAACCATAAAATGCAGAAATGTCTTGAGGATGGGCCTTACGTTTTGCGTTTTGAAATGTATGAGTCATTTGTCCCAAGGTTAGCGATTTGACTTTCTTAGACATACATAGACGAGGGATCAAAGATTTTTCATTCATTTTTTTTTCTTTACTGAACTGAGACAACCACTATTACCTAAAATCAGTTTTTCACTCTCAGCTGCTTACAATTATATTTTTAATTCCATCCGAGGTATTGTAGCAGATTCTGATCATTGGCCACTTAACAGCCCTTCTTCCTTGTTAACAGAATCACACTTGTCTTTGGAGTGGCTAAGTACCCAGGCCCTGGGAGTGAAGCACGATTGACCTGAGATGGTCATTATGATCTCGTTTTCTGCCCAATTTTCCCAGCTTTCCTTGCAGTTAGTGCTGGGCAGTCACTAGGTTTGGGCAAATTAGATTTAAGTGGATGACTTCTGGGGGTTCTTCCAACAAAGTTTGTTTTGTTTTGTTTTTAGTTATGAAAGGAGAAAGCCATTTTCCTTTCCTGCATTTGACAGTGGTTGTGATGTCTGCAACCATGAGGGGACAGGATGAGGGCAAAATGCCTGGGCTGCCAAAAAATGGCTGGTAGAAGGCTGGAAAGAGCCTGGATTAGACTTCCGTTTTGAGCAGTGGAGCTTCCTCCTCACCTGAAAACCCTCCATGTCTAAAACATCCAGAAATGATTCGTAAAGTGTTAATGACTTTCCTTTTAAGTCCATAACTAAACAAAGAGAGAATCCGAAGGACGATCTGGAAGTTAGACTGGCCTAGAAGCTGTGGTTACCTTGTTTTCATGAGGAGGACTGGTTAACTTAGATATGTTATGTTCTGAAATGAAATATCATGCAGCTCTGACCTGAATTAGGAAGATTTCTATGGACTCTCGTGGGAACCTGTCCAAGGCATTTGCAGTGACAGAAAGTAGGGTGCCAGACAATGTTATTAGGTATTGTCTTTGGTATAAAGAAAGGAGGTTAGAAGATACAAAACAATGGAAGAGTCGACTGGAAATGAATAAAACACATTTGTCTGAAGACCAGTGTGGCAGAGGATGTCTGTGCCCACCCATATCCCTCTGACCTTTCCCTTTCAGTGCACCCTGGCCAGCTTCCCACTGCCAGGGTTTGCAGCTCCTTGCCTGAGGGAGCAGCTGCTCTGGCAGTGCATGCGGCAGGCTGTGAGCAGCCCTCCACAAACGATCTTCACCCCTTGGATGAAATCATTCTGAAGGGTGTGCAGGAGAGAAATCATTAACAAAGATTCCTTAAAAACCCTGTAGGTCAGAAAATGTACCAGCATAATTCTACATAACTCCTGGGTCACAGAAGAAATCATAATGGGTAATAAAAAGCGGGACTGAATCATAATGAACATATTGTATATCACAATGCTGCTTGTATCTACATTGACAGCCCCAGCCACATCATCTTTAATAAATTTATTTTTATCATTTTTTAATTGTGATACGCAGGCCCTCTAAAGCTTGTGGCCCAGAGCCAGGGACCCTCTTACTTGAATCTGGGAATAGTATTGGGAAGGAAAGAATGAAAAATGGTGAAGTTGGAAGCAAATAGAAGTGGAGATGGAGAAACTAATAGTTATTTTGAGATAATAAAATAGACACAGGCCTGATTTGTTTCAAAGGCACAAATAATTTTTGGAATTATGTAGATATGGATCTGTGGATATGGCACAGATCCGTAAAAAGGGGAAATGCTCTTAATAGTTTTATGTCAGTAGATGAAACCTTAGACAAAAGAGTGAATTTCTTAGAAAAACATAACTTACAAAACCTCACTTAAAACGAAACAGAGGGGTGTCTGGGGGCTTAGTTAGTTAAATGTGTGCCTTTGGCTCCCATCCGGGCTCCCTGCTCAGCGGGGAGGCTGCTTCTCCCTCTGCCTCACTGCACACCCCCCCACTCCTGCATGCATGTGTTCTCTCTCTCTCTTTCTCTCTGTCAATAAATAAAATCTTTTAAAAAATGAAACAAAATTTGAATGGAATTATAATCATTAAAGATACTGCATTAGCTAAAAATCTGCCCACTACAAGATAGAGGCAGGGTCCCTGTGCAGGGTTGATTTGCTGCGTTGGTGCCACCCTACCTCTTTCCAAACTTGTGTTATGGGAGATTGAGGGTCTGTTTTTAGGTTTTCTGTTTCTTGTAGCCGTACGAGTCCTGACTGTTAATAAATGTTGACTATCATTATGATACCTTTTCCTTCGCACCTCAACCCCCCCCCCCTTTTTTTAATGACCAAGGAGGGGCAAGGAAAGGAAGTAGTTGGATAGGAATTAAATGGAGTG